AGACACTTCCTGGTAACACAATTCACAAATGGAGGTGTGTTCAACTTCATTCATAACTGAAGAAATGCAAGTTGAAATTTTGTATTTTCACCCATCAAATTGGTAAAGACTAAGAAAATGGATAACATCCAGCGCTGAGGGGGCTGTGGGGAACAGCCCTTCATCCGTGGTTCCTTCAGCTTCTCGCGGAGAATTTGGGGAATTTTGACACTGTCCGTCAAATGTGAAATCGTGACCATGCTTTGCCTCAGCAGTTCCATTTTGATGAAGCTGTTCTGAAGACGTCATCAGTTGGATTTTTAAAAAAAGGCACAAGGATGGCACTGAATTATAACTGTGGCTTTTGCAGTGATTTTGCGGAAACAGGACTGACTGCCCGAATGTCGGCCAGCAGGAGACCGCTTAAATAAATGATGTTTGGGTATGGATTTAATATGAGTAAAGTTTTAGAAATAAAATATATGTACATATAATAACATTGGTGAGATAGGCATAGAAAAAGTCCAGAAGACTCTATATTGAAATGTTAATAACGGGGATATCTGGAGGCATGAAACCACTTTCTTTCTTTTTTTTTTTTTTAAGATTTTATTTATTCATTTGAGACAGAGTGATGCAGAGAGAGAGAGAGCATGAGCAGGGGGAGAGGGAGAGGGAGAAGCAGGCTCTGAGACTGCTGAGCAGGGAGCCCGATGTGGGGCTCCATCCCAGGACCCCGGGATCATGACCTGAGCCGACGGCAGACGCCCAACCGTCAGAGCCACCCCGGCGCCCCATGAAATCACTTTCTGTGGCATGCATCGCTGTAGTATTTAAGTTCTGTATCCCAAGCATGTATGGCTGTTGTAAGCAGGGAAAAAAAGGATTTTAAAGTGGGAGAGAAGGATGGAGGAAAGGGTGACAGCAGGTAGTGGTTCTTCTCTGGGTGCAGCCAGGATCTGAACCCCCTTGAAACAGCTGGAGAACTCACCTGCCTTACGGTCTCCCAGCACACGAGTGTCAGTGGCCTTCTGACCACAGAGCCCCCGTGGCTCACCATGGAAGGCACAACGGAGATGGCTCCAGAGCCCGGCCCTCCCCCGAGGGGGCCCCGTGGAGCCCAAGGCAGCCGGCGGTTGAATTTGGGTTTTCTGCCACTTGCAGTCAGAGTGGAAAATGATATCTTAACTTGAGGTAAAAAAGGGGGGCAGGGAAGAGATACTGCGGGTTCTCATGAAATCCACACACATGGACAAGGAAGCTTCAGGAAGGGCTGAAACCAGGGAAGCGCCAGGGACCCAAAGAGGGGTTTGTGGGTTTTCTCTCCAGGGAGCTGCCCTGCTGGAGTTGTGACACCTCCCCGCCCTGGGGTTCTCAGATCAAGTGCCAAAATTCCTGTGAGGGAGAATGTGATTGGCCCAGCCGTGTGGGTCACGGTGACGGGTGGGGGTGCGTGGGGGCGGGGACGCGGAGACCACCTGCATCCGTCCAGAGGGCCATTGCCAGGGCAGGCAGCCATTTTGACCTGTAACCCGTTTGCTGTGGCAACCTGCGGTGACAAGGTAACACACACTGAACCGCTTAAACAACAGAAATGTATTATCATCCGGCTCTGCAGGCAGGAAGTCCAAGGTCAAGGCATCAGCAGGGATGGTTCCTTCTGAGGTCTGTGGGAAGAGAATCTGCCCTGGGCCTGTCTGCTATCTTTGGTGGTTTGCCAGCAATCTTTGGCCTTCCCTGGCTGGTAGGATACATCACCCTGATCTCCGCCTTCACGTTCACACAGTGTTCTCCCTGTGTGTGTGTGTTTGAGTCCAAATATCCCCTTTATATAAGGACACCAGTCATGTTGGATGACGGAACCAGCCTACTCTGGGATGACCTCATCACAGTCACCGCCCTAATTCCAAACAAGGTCACTTTCTGAGGCTTGGGGAATTAAGACTTGAACATATGAATTTGGGGCAGGGCAGGGTGGAGAGACAAAATTCAACCGACAGCATAACTGTTATGGTCCAGGTCCAGAGAAAGATCTGGGCTGGAGGGACAGCTGGAGAGTCAGTGACCTAATGGAGAGTGAGAAGCCTTTGGGAGCAGATGGAAAACCAGCAGAGTGCAGTGTGAGGAGAGCCACAGAGCACGCACTGAAGAAATCTGCCGGATTTGGTAATGTGTGGTGTCCTCGACAGGGAGAATGTCCACAGACTAGCCAGGGCGAGAAACACTGCAGTGGCGTAAGGAGGGCCTAGGATATGATGCAGTGGAGAAAGTGAGCGTTCAAGTAGGCTGGCCGTGCAAGGAAGAAACCAGTGTCAGCTAGAGGAGGAGATGCCGAGGAGGCGTTTACAAGGTGCTCATGTTTACTAATGGTGGGAAAGAGCCAGTAGGAAGGGAGAGATTAAAGGGCAGGAGATCATCAGGGTGCCGGCTCCCCAGAACGTGCCAGAGCTGTGTACCCACAGGCTAGGGACCCTGCTCAGGAAGTGTGTGTGAAATCAAAGTGTGACTGCGCACCACAGCGGACAGAATCCAGAAAGCAGGTTGGAAGGACTGGCCAGGGCCACATTTTGAGTCCACTGTAGGCTTCTGCTCCCGCTTCTTGCTGCCAGTGTTGGCTCCATTTCTGGCCCTGGTTGATGCCAGTGCCTACCGCGGTTGGCAATATTCAAGATGGAATTTAGATGCCCTTGGGTGCCCCTGAGTCAGCAGCACAGTCCGGTGGGCTGTGGCCCGGGGAGCCAGGCCTCGGGGTATCTCCCACAAGGTCATGGGAGCGAGTCTAAATGTTAAGCCCATTGTGTTTTCCTCGCTGACCTTCTCTGGGCCCAAACATCTGGAAGGTTAGAGATCCTTGATGTTATAAACTGTTTGATAATCATCATCCCAGGAGAAGATACGTAAGCAGGAAAGCAAGTCAGGGTGCTCCTCTCTTAGCTCCAAGTCACAGAAAATGGACAAGACCCCTGTACTGCACCACTCTCAGCAGGACAGCAGCTACCTCTGAGAGGTCAAAAGGAGGGTAGAGACCTTACCTTTATAGGTTATACTTTATATACTTATGAATGATTTTAATTTTTATAGTAATCTTTATCGGCTCTAAAAAAAATCTTACAACATTCCATCTTTTTAAAAAATGGATTTTTATTTAAGAATATATATAAATACATTCTCTTTCTAGAGAGTGGAAACATTGTGGATAAGATAAAGTCTCCTAGACTATCTCCCCTGCCCACCCCCCAAAACAATCTACAGCAGAATCCACTATTATTATCACTTTGGTGCATATCATTTCACACCTTTTTAAAATGGATTTTCATGCATGGATATGTCCCCACATTAAATATGTAGTCTGGATTTTTAAAGGGATTAAACAACATATTTTCATATAGCACTTTCTTTCCACTGGACTTTTTCTCTCAATTGCTTGTCTTCAGGGGCCGTCCCTTCCTGGCATTTCTCCTCCACATCCTCCTTCCTTCCCTCTCCCCTAGGAGTAACCTGTCCCTGGTGTTAACAGATGCTGCTCCGAAGACCAATCCGGTAGAAGTCCCTGGGGTACGGTTTGCCAGATTTAGTCAATAAACACATAGGTGGCTCAGTTAGCTAAGCAGCTGCCTTCAGCTCAGGTCATGATCCCAGGGTCCTCAACCTCCCTGCTCGGTGGGGAGTCTACTTCTCCCTCTCCCTCTGCCCCTCCCCTTGTTCATGTACTTGCTCTCTCTCAGATAAACTCTTTAAAAGAATATATAGGTGGCAGGGGCACCTGGGTGGCTCAGTTAGTTAAGCCTCCTACTCTTGATTTCAGCTCAGGTCTTGATCTCAGGGTCCAGTCCTTGGGCTCTGTACTCAGCAGGGAGTCTGCTTCTCTGTTTCTCTCTCTCCCTCTGCCCCTCCCCCCTCAAATAAATATTTAAAAAAATATAGGTGTCAGATTAAATTTTAATTTCAGATAATGAATGATTTTTAAATGTAAGTACACAGTGCTTGGGATATACTTACTCTAAAAAACTATCTCTGGGTGCCTGGGTGGCTCAGTCGTTAAGCGTCTGCCTTCCGCTCAGGTCATGATCCCAGGGTCCTGGGATCGAGCCCCGCATCGGGCTCCCTGCTCGGCGGGAAGCCTGCTTCTCCCTCTCCCACTCCCCCTGCCTGTGTTACTGCTCTCGCTATCTCTCTCTCTGTCAAATAAATAAATAAAATCTTTACCAAAAAAAAAATATATATATATATATATATAAAACTATCTCTTGTTTTTCTGAAATTCAGATATAACAGAGTGGCTTCTATGTTATCTGTCAATCCTACTTTGGGGCACTTGTTAAAAATACCACTGGCCTCCTCCCTTTATGAGATGCAGAAAGTCCGGATGAAGGCCAGCCAGGATTATGTATACTTTTAAATGGTATTCAGATCACTGGCCAGGTTTGGGAACCCTGCACTGCACCACACCAGGCTGACTGGGGGCCAGGCTCCTCTCCCCGTGAAAATACACGTTCATGCTTATTCATCCCCCAGTTTTTAATGAGTTAGGGTAGTAGGAGTCATGCCTCCAGAGTGGCTGTCCCTGGCCTGGGACTTCCGCTATAGGGACGTCCACTCAGGTGTGGTGCCCCTTCCCCCACTACACTGTCGGGACAACCAGCTCTGCTACTTTTCCTCAGGCCGCCCAATTTCCTTTGAACCCGCTGTTTTTTTGAGGTCCCAGGATCTCTTACACACTCGGCCAACCGCTCTCAGCCCAGACTGTAACTCTCAAAATCAGCGCAATGGCAGAGGGCTGTGGGACTGGGGACAAAGAAGAGGAAGGAGTCAGGCGGGGCTCTGGGTTCTCCCTTCTGCCTCTAATTCCAGTTCTTTCTCGGTAACCCAGTGGGCAGGCCCTCCTCGGCTCCTTGCCCCGCAGCCCCGGCGAAGCCTAAGGGGGCGTGGCCAACCGAATCCCAGCCGCAGCCAATCCCAGCGGGGCCCTTCGGGTGGGCGGGGGCAGGGGAGCGTAGCCTGAAAACTTCCGCGACCAGGCTGGACCAATTCCGACGCAGGAGGTGAAGCCGACTCCATACCTGGGCCCAGGTGCGCTCGCTCTGCATCTCTCGGCCGCCCCGCTCACCGGATGCAGCGGGCCCAGGCGGCGTCCGGAGGAGACCCACCCGGGGCCGAGTTCCCAATGGAGCCCTTGGGAAGCCAGGTCGCGGGGCTAGAGCAGCCGCAGGTGCCCGCAGAGGAGCGACGGCTCGAGAGTCCCGAGAGCAGCCCGAGTCTGGCCCGCGCCGTAGAGGAGGCGGCGGGCGCGGGCCAGGACCTCTCCGGCGGGAAGAAGCTGCCCCCGCCTCGCCCGGCGCTCCTGCGGCTCCCGGCCCCCAGCCTCGGCTACGGCGCCTTCCGCCGCCAGGCCTCCGCCGGCTCCGAGCCGCCGTCGCCCGGCCCCACCGCGGCCGAGCAGTTCCGGGCCGGCGAGGCGCCGGGGGCCGAGCTGGCGCCGGGGGAGCCGCCGCAGGGCACCTGGGCCCCGGTGGAACTGCAGGTGGACGTGCGCGTCAAGTCCGTGGGCGTGGCGGGTGGCAGCCGCGCGCCCTCGCCGGCGCCGTCCCCGCGCTTCCTCACCGTGCCGGTGCCCGAGTCCCCGGCCTTCTCCCGCCACGCCTTTCCCGCCCTCCCGCTCCTGCCGCGGACCCCCGCCCGGCCGGAGCGCGGCCTCGACGCCGAGGGCCGGGCGAGCCCCGCCGACGGGCGCTCGGAGCCCCCGGGCTCCCCCACGTGCCGCGGCCGCTGCAGGGCCCTGGGGCTGGAGAAGGAGGAGGACGCCGCGCTGCTGCACCGCGCCGAGACGGGCGGCGACGAGAAGCTGCCCCGGGCCATAAAGCTCATAGGTAAGCCCGCGCGGCCGGGCAGGGGGCGACGCCGCCTGAGCGCAACCCCCGCCTCCCCCCAGCCACCCAGCGCCGCGCCACTGCGGCGGAGGGCCGAGGGGACCCCGACCACCGCCCCGCTGCCCCGGCCCCACCTGTCCCGTCCCGCCTCGGATCGGTCACAGTCGGGGCTAGGTAACTGGACTGCATTTATTTGCAGTGAAAGAGTAAAACCTTTCCACCACCGCTCCGCCGCTCCACCGCTAGAACTTTCACATTCCCTCGGCGTGTGCGCGGCATGGTTGGGAAGTAGAGGTGGGACCACTTCCAGGAGAGGGGAAGCCTTCCAGGATCACCTGACGGTGGTGGCAGCCCCGGCGAGAACCGAGTCTCCCGACCCAGGCTCCCTCCCTCTTTCCCTCCACGTATGTTGAGGAGCATTTGGCCCCAAACACTCCCCCGTTCAGCAGCTATTGCGTGGGGACTAGGGACCAGACTGCTGGGGGCGGTGTGTAGGGGAGGGGGTCCGTTTGAGGGATGGGGTGTTTGGCAGGGGACAAGAAGGAGGCTGGAGGGGCGCCTGGGTGGCTCATTCCGTTATGGCTCTGGCTCTTGATTTCAGCTCAGGTCATGATCTCAGGGTGGTGAGATTGAGCCCCTCCCGAGCTCTGTGACCGTAGTGGAGCCTGCCGCTCCCTCTGCCCCCCCCTTAAAAAAAAAAAGATATAAACAATCCTGGACAAGGAGCCAGGAGGGAGAGGTTGGTGAGCTTGGGGGCATGGGAAAGCTTCCTGGAGTAAGCGTTGAAAAGTGAGTAGGATTTGGGGGTGGCAAAGGCCCCTTCTAACTGGAAAGTTCGGGAGGCAGAGTGCCAAAGGCTTGGCCAGGATAGAGGAAGACCAGGCCAACTAGACAGGCCCCAAAGCCCCGGGGTCTCTGCCACATCTTGGTCTTGGGTAGAGTTCAGGGACACAAATCACTCGGGCTTTTGCAGAGTTTGGTGTGAGCACATTTTCTGAATGATGGTATATTGTCTTTTTTTTTTTTTTTTAGCCTGGGGAGGGGCAGAGGGAGAGGGAGAGAGAATCTTAAGCAGGCTCCAGGCGCAGTGTGGAGCCCCACACGGGGCTCAATCTCACAACCTTGAGGTCATGACCTGAGCCAAAATCAAGAGTCAGCTGCTTAACCCACCGAGGCACCCAGGCGCCCCAGAGATGTATTTCCTATCCTATCACTGCCGTAACAAATTGCAACAAACTTAGTGGTTTAAAACAACCCAAATTTATTATCTTACTGTTCTGTGGGTCAGAAGTTTGATGTGGGCTCACCGGACTAAAGTTGAGCTGTCAGCAGCACTGTGTTCCTTCCTGGGGGCTCTAGGGGAGATGCTATTTCCTTGCCTTTTGTAGCTAGAGTCTGATTCCTTAGTTCATGCCCCTCGGAATATTCAAAGCCAGCAAGCAATGTTTGGCTGATTCCTTCTGCTGCCCTCTCTGACTCTCTTGTTCTGCCTTCCTCTTGTTTCTAAGGACCCTTGTGTTTACGTTGGGCCTACCCAGAAAATCTAGGAAAATCTCCTCATCTTAAGGTCAACTGATAAGCAACCTTAATTCCAACCAAAACCTTAAATGCCCTTTGCCATGTAACCTAACTTATTCACAGTTTCCAGGGACTAAGACATGGGCGTCTTTGGGGTGGGGGTGGGGGGGCATTATTCTCTCTACCACAGTGGGTCTACAGCTTTTTGTCAGATTAATTAAAGAGTCTAGGACTAAAAAAAGTATAAATACAGGTCACCCTGGAATGGAGCCAGCAGGGGTGTGGGCAGGGAGAACTCAAGCTGAGAGTGAGAACAGAGGCTAGGGGAGGAGGTGTCTTTTGGAGAAGATGGGGTGGCCTAGGAACTCCAGAGGTAGTTAGAATTTTGGTGGGCTGGGCAGGAAGAATGTACTCAGTGCTGGGTGCTTGGAGGAAATGGGGCCCTGAAGGGTGATGCCCAGTACGGTCAGGCCCAGCAGGAGGAGCAGGGGCGTTTGTAATAGCTTTACCTGAAAAAATGATACAAAAGCGGACTCTCATTGGCGCGAGCCCCATGAGTCAGTCCTATGCTGAGTTTTGTATTTGGAAGTTTTCTTTTTTTTTTTTTTAAGACGTTCCCCCCCCCCCCCAATTTGAATAACCTTTAAGTCCCACAAAACCTGGTTCCACCGCAGGCCACCAGATCTGACTAGGAGGAAGCAGACAGTGTTTCAGCTGCGGGTAGGAAATGTGGCAAAGTAAGATGGACTCACAGTTCGAGAGTAAACAGACTGTAACATCAGAGATGTCATTCCAAGATTGGGAAAGGAAATCGGGTGGAAGCTAGAGAGTGGGGCCGAAGGGAAGGTGCTGGAAAGAAAGGGAATGTGTGTTATTATTGCCATGTGGGACTGGGTGTGTTTGCAGACAGGAGAGAATTCAATTTAAGGGCATCCAGAATTGGAAGTGGGGTAAAGACGGGTTTAGAGGGGACTTTAGCTTTATGTGTGTTTTCATTTTTTTGTAAGGAGAATGTTTTGGGTTACCTGTGTAATTAGGAATTGCTTTGGAGGGGCACCTGGGTGGCTCAGCTGGTTATGGGTCTGCCTTTCGCTCAGGTCATGACCTCAGGGTCCTGGGATCTAGCCCCACATCGTAGCAGCAGCAGCAGCATCAACATCATCATCGGGCTCCCTGCTCAGCAGGGAGTCTGCTTTTCCCTCTCCCTCTGCATCTCCCCTCCCGCATGCCGCCTCGGTCTCCCTCTCTTTCTCAAATAAATAGCTAAAATCTTAAAAAAATAAAATAAAAGGGGGAATTGCTTTGGAAAGGGGATAGGCAGAACTTCCTCTGTCTGGAAGTTTAGGAGGACGCTGGCTCTGCGGGGGGCCATTCCCAAGGTCAGCCGTGCAGCCCTGAGTGGAAGGTATGTGGGCCTGTGTAACCTGTTCTATTTCTTTTATGCATTCTTTTCTGAAAGGCCAGAGCATGCGGTGACGGTGGTTACATTGACAGAGGTGATTGGTAGATTTTTCCCTTTCTTCTCCAGGCTTTTTAGTTCTGCTTTTATTTTAAGAGTCTCCATTTATATGTATCTTTTATTCCAAGCTTATTCAAATCACTTTTTTTTTGGTAACAGCTTCATCGAGTTATAACAGCTTCATCGAGTTACAATTCACATAACCGCACACTCCAGCCACTTCAAGGTCTTTAGTACATTCCTAGAGGTGCACAACCATCACCACAGTTGGTTTTAGCATATTTTTAACACCCTAAAAAATGCTGTGTCTTTTAGCTTTCAACCCCCCAGGCTCCCCCAGGCCACCACTGATCCACTTTCTGTCCCTGTGGGTTTGCCTATTCCAGACATTTCATAAATGGACTCATGAGTCCTTCTGGGACAAGCTTTCACTTAGCAGCATAAAGTTCTCCGTGTTCAGCCACTGTCCAACACGCATCAGCACTTCCTATCTTTTGTGGCTGAATATTCTGCTGTATGGATATACTACATTTTGTTTATCCATTTATCAGTTGATGAAAATTTGGGTCAAATCCCTTTAAGAAGCAGATTATGTAATTTAAAAAAAAAAAGCCAACTCCAAAAAGGTCACAGATGGAATGTGACTCTTGTGTATGTCGGTGTAACACACTGCCCTTTTCAGTCTTTGAAGCAAGTGTTTTTTTCTAATGGAAATGGGAAATCAAGGACTTCAAAAGTGCTTTTAAAGTTGAGTTATGATTGAAAACGTTTTATGAAAAATCTTGGAAATGTGTCCCAACTTTCTATGTGTATGTGTTGTGTGCATTCATATGGAGGTATATACGAACACGCATGTGGTTTTAAAAACGAATTAGTCTTTTCAAAATACTAAATATTTGCTGGAGAATTAACCTCTGCTGTTTCAGGTTTTGGCAAAAATATGATGATTGAGTTCTTGGGACCCTTACGCTGGATATGTGGCATTCCCAGCTCTTGGCCCTCCTCCAGCACCTGGCAGCCAAGTGTCTGGGAAGTTTATTTTTTAAATTTTTAAAAAAAGATTTCATTTATTTGAGGGAGAGAGCACAAGCCAGGAGGAGTGGCAGAGGGAGAGGGAGAAGCAGGCTCCCCGCTGAGCAGGGAGCCAACAAGGGGCTCGAGCCCAGGACCCCGGGATCATGACCTGAGCCGAAGGCAGACGCTTAACTGACTGAGCCACCCAGGCGCCCCTGGGGAGTTTAAATTGAACCTGCATCTAAAGAGAGGCCTCTTTTGTGTTAATTGATTTCATGCTTCTGTGTCCAGGCAGAGATCAAATTCAGGAGTGCTCAGTTATTTTAGATGTTTCCAGGTGGAACTCTGCTTACAACTGCCGACGGTCGTGATTAACCATTTACTGTGTTTTCTTCTCCCCGTTTTCCCCTTTGGCCTCCCCGGTCACTCCGTCACCAGGGCAGCATCTGACATTCGAACACGTTCTCTTTCTCTCAGCCTCTGCCGCCGCCTTTCCTCCTGCCCGGCTCCGTCTTGTGAGTTCCTTTCCCCCCTGAAGCCTCCCTCCAGCTATCGGGCTCACGCCTGTGTCCTCCTCTCCCGCCTGCAAAGCACGCCCTGCACGGCGCTTCACTAGCGGCCTCCGGTGACCTGGAGAGATAGAAGAGGCAGGTGATTGCATGGTCAAAATGGGAAGACACCTTGGGGCGCCGGGGTGGCTCAGTCGTTAAGCGTCTGCCTTCGGCT